ATTGCTAAGCTCATCTGTTTCCGGTTGTGCGTTAACCTTGCTGTTATAGCCTCTGGAAAACACACACACCCGAGACACACACAGTGGCATGGTTTCCCTGCTATTGCGTGTGTGCTGAAGTCAGGGCACCTTTTGTTCTGAGCGGTTTGGAGGACTAATGAGAAGCACAGTGAGCCTGAGGCATGTGCACACAAACATCCACCCACACAGATTCACCTACAGGAACGTGTGTGCACACCCAGCATGAAGTTCATCCAGAAGCATCAGCAGATTCTTGTCAAGGAGACATAGAATTTATTGTTCATTTAATCATCTTGTGCATGTTTTTGTGTGTATATCAAGAATATAGCAGTCTGTGTGTGATATGTTTAGCTGCGTGGCTCGGTGCACTTTTAGAATAAAGGGCTAGTTGTATAGCAACTTCTCGTGTTCCTGTGGAAAACCCCCATTGCCACACCGCATGAGTCAGCAAAGGACAAGGAGTGCTGCAAGAAGTAGAGATGGATCATTGTATTAAGCAGTATGTTTGCGTGTGTGGATTTGTGTGGAGAGCAGGTTTTACAGACAATATATGTGAAGTAGAGCCGTGGAGAGGTTACACCTTTAAAGGTACAGTGTGGAAAATCTCACCACTAGAGGTCAGCAGATTGCAGTCAACAGAATTTAGTGGCTGTTCATCTGTAGTGAGTGTATCCAGGGGTGTCAAACAATGAGGCCCAGCAAGAACTCTAATCTGGTTTACTGGATAGCTTTGTAAAGATGTAAGGGAAGACTTAAATTGTGGAGTGTATTTTCTGAATTTTTATTAGTTTTACAGCATTTACTGCTGAAAAAGACCTCCCCACAGTCATTAATACCACACCAAAGTAACTAGGTGTATGTGTCCCCTGATGTAAAATGAGTTTGATAGGTTGAGAGGAGGCTGTAAAATTTAAAGTGTAAAGTTGATGATTCAGTGAAGCTAACTTCTGTCTGATGAAGGCACTGAGGTGAGTTTTTGTCGGTAAGCACTGCTGCATTGCAGCTGCTTGTAGCTGGCATTTGTGAAACTTTCTTTGAAGAGAATCTAACATGGTAGGACTCGGACACTTAACAAATAGACTCTCATATGATGTGAGAAAATAACTAAACTGTTTATCAGAGGGAAACTTTGCTTTTTAGGACACTTGAGACTAACATTAGCTTGCATAAAGGTAGCTTTTAACCAGCTGTTATTGTTTTGTTTTTTTAGCTAGCTAGTTGTCAGCTGGTTGATGGTAAGATTACATTTATAACCCTCTGACAATAAGTAATTGGGCCAATATCTAGAATAAATAAGTATTTTAAAAAGTGTTGTTTTGGGGGGGCAGACTAGAATGTGATGGAACAGTTATGAAAGTGACAAGATAACAGCTAATAGCAAACATGTATCTACAGTATTATATGAAAACATACATTAACTTGCATCTTTTTCTCCCTCACAACACCAAAGTGTCATCCATTTCTTTTAAGCGTGTCTCAGTGCAATTATTCATTTCTATATGGGAGCTTGAGGGTCCTGCGCAGTATCTTAGCTGCTCCTAGGACTGCGCTCTTCTGGAAAAAAAGGAACAACTCATATGGCTCCTACAACGATGTTGTTCCTGGGATCTGCTGGAGCCACTCGCCTAGCTTGGGAGTCACCGCACCTAGTGCTCCGATTACCACTGGGACCACCGTTACCTTCACCCTCCACGTCTTCTCGAGCTGTTCTCTGAGCCCTTGGTATTTCTCCAGCTTCTCGTGTTCCTTCTTC